AAAAAAACTATGTTTAACATACATTTGTCAGTATGGGGAGCAAAAGGGAGCCGGAAGAAATAACAAACACGATCTGCATGTAGCTCTCCACTTTTATTGTGTTGCGGGCCAATAGGCGAGCAGCAATCGAGCTTCCCAACATTGATGCCAGCATGAAAGTAGCAAATATAAAACCATGGGGAATATCCTCATCGTTTGGGCTCAGGGCAGGCGTCCAGAGGAACACGAAAGTATACATCGAGCCTTCGAACAGAGACTGTATTGCACCAAGCAATGCTATCTTCTCATCTGACAACATGAATATTATTTCACATCAAGTTTCAAATAAGAAACTAATAATCATGGAAGTAGAAAAAGGTATTTACCAAGAAATAAAAATATAACACAAATTAAGTTGTTCGGAAAGTTTAAAGTGTCCACTAAAAGGTATAAATTATGTCCAATTACATGTGCAGATGGAACCTAGAACTACCAGGAGCGATTGGAAATCATCTCATTTTGAGATTTTTCCGTCATAGGAAATATTGAATTTCTTTAGGAAACGTTCAAAAAAAATCTTTATTCACTTGCACTTTGTTCTCCCACATATACTTCAACATGTAAGTTTGTCCAAAAAAGAAATCCAATCAACAATCTTTTAACTCCATTGATGGACGATTATTTCTTTAGTCTTTTTTTTTTTTTTTTTTTTTTTTTTNNNTTTTTGTTTTTACATACAATCAATGTTAATAATTACATTTCCACTTACCCTCTCAAGATTAATATTCTTATTTACAAGAAAAGCTTATTACCAAAATGAAATGGACACCAAATTGTACCACAGCTTTTATAAGTTTCATTAACATGCAATCATCTCCATATGCGTAAATCAAGTTGAGAAGAATTATGAATACCTGAAGCAATAGCTACAGCTGCACCTTTGAACTGAGTAAACAAATCCTTGTTATCTGAAGGGTCTCCATAGTTCTCAGTCCAAGATGACAATATAACTGCCATCCCGATAGCAAGAAGTATGGCAGCAGCATCGAAAGGAGATACAGGCCCCAGATTCAGGGAATCAACAAGCATATTTCCAAAGAGTCCAGATATAATAGCAACAAGACCATTGCCAAGAAAGATTGCCTTGGAGAAAGTTAATGAGAGCCATTGCTGGTCAAAACCCCTCTGCATATATGTAAAAAAAAAAATAGAGTGTAGTCAGCACATATCGTACATGTAACTAATCATAATATAAACAAAATGTGATGAAAAATGATTGCACAGAACAAAGACTTCTTTCCATAATGCACAAAATTCAATAAAACGACCAAGAAAAAAAAAATGTATCATGGGCACCGTCCCAGAAAAATGAAAATTCACAAGTTCAGGACAAGAGAGATACGAATGATCGACAGGGCCCTAGCCCATTATAATAGTCTACTAATATTAAGTGAGTAGTGAGTACATACAGAAAATCCAAAATTTCATTATGCCTGAGAATCAAACCATCTTTCTGTACATTCAATTACAGAAGTTTCAACATGATAAGGATATGAACTATTCAAAAATGCAGTAAGCACTACCAGATCTACGGAAGTGCACAAAATGGAACACAATTATACGTAAAGACAAAATCACCTTGAAGTGCTCTGCTACAAGCCATGATTCGAAAGCAGAAAACAAGAGGGATGTTGCAATACCACCCAAAACACGTCCTATCATCAGAACTCGGTATTGAGGAGAATGTTTGGTAATGCAGCTCAGAATGTACGTGATACAGTAAGTGACACAAGCTCTCTTCCTTCCCCTGCAATTCCTCACAGAAGTCAACCCTCAACAGGGGGAGAATAAATTTCTGCGCATAAAACTTGAAAATAACATTATCTTAGGAAAATATCTCACTGTTTATCTGCTAGTGATCCAACGATAGTTCCAAACAACATGGATGACCCAAATCCGGCAATAAAGAGCTGTCCAATTTCACCTTTCCCAAAACCATAAGTGCTGTAAAGGTAGTAAACGTATGGACCCTGCAGCCAGTCACCGGCTATTTGCCATATGTAAACCAAGCATCAGCAAAAGTAATCATCATTGCTTACAAATGCTCACAGAATTATAAGGAAACTGTAAGACTTTTTCCAAAGAGCAAGCATAAATAAAAGAAGAGTGGCACAGTCCGCAGCAATGGGAATCTTTCTTAACAGTATAATGCATATTTATTAGCTTGAATTGATTTTTCTCCATTAAGATACTATATTTATTACAAACCTAAGGTACAAATAGCATCGAAGAACACAAATGGAAGATCTCCACAAGAAGACAATTACGGTTACAAATTTCAAAATAGAAAGAGAATCAAGGAAATCGTAGCACGAGAAGTCAATATAGAAAATTTATAGTATAGCATCAGAATTCAGATCATAATAATATAGTTCCTTAAGACACCTAAAATAACATCAGATGATTGAGGAAAGCTTCTCTCGCATCACCATTTTTAACAATATCGGTTTCATTCGACTTTGATTGCATTATCATATTAAACCAACAAATAAGCTACACAAATACTCTTTCTCCATCAAACTCACAATTCTGGAACTTCACAAATCATTCTCAACATGCATTAAACAAAAACGATTACACGAATCCAGCTAAGATCCAGATCTCACATGAACAACTATCTCACAACTCTCTCTCCAGCATTGGTATAATCACAGTCACATAGATCAGATCTAAAAAAACAAAAACAAAGCATTTAGTCCCATCCATTTGATCTACCATCAAACCAGATCACACATAAAGCCATTCGAATGCACATAACAATAAGAATTAGCCAGCATTGACATATTTCAACATCATTCAACCTCAGAGCCAGCGCCTGGGACTAAGGATCCGCCACACATTCCTAACATTTCACACTCATCAAGCACATTTCACAAAATACGCACACACCAGCAAGTACCACTCGCAATCACAATGCCAAGCCATTCACGACCACTTTTTTGCTCAATCAAATCGAACGAGATTGATCGAATCCAAAATGCGCACAAAATCGATGTAACAAAAGAAAAAAAAAAAGAGCACAGATCTAAGATCAGATTACAAAATTCACCTACCCATCATCAGCGAGTAGACGAGCAAGTAATTGTTCTTGAACGAATTGAAGGCCGTGGAGGTGTTGATCCGATCTTTGTTGCTTTTGCTCAGCTCCAACGCCGCCACCACCGCCGCCAGCGCCCCGAACACCATGTAGTAGAATACCTCCATTGTTGCTCCGCTGATAGCACTCAAATGCGAGTAAAAAGTGAGAGTGTTGAAAATGCAATTTCTATAAGAAGGATAGATCTATATACGCAGTTCGATAGAGAGATAGACGTGTTTGCGTGTGCGAGCAAATCTACGCTGCTGTGTGTACTGTCTGTCGACTGTGAGGATGATGAGATTTTTATACATTTATTTTACTCGCTTAACTCGATGCCGACACGTGGGAGAATACGGTTCGTTGGATTGGTGTCGGTGATTTGGGCCCTGGGAGCTGGGTAGTGGGTACAAACGGATCTTAGGGGAATGGGTTGTTTGGACTTTGAATACAAGGATTTTTTTAATTTTTTTTTTGGGTCAAAATTTATTCCATTCAAATTAAAATTAATTTAAAAAGGTATTATTGATCTCTTTTTACTTTTTTTTTGTATAAGTTTTATTGTATAATTAAAAAATAAAATAAAAATTGTTAATAAATAAGTTTTAACATAAATTATTATTAGTTCATTTATACATTTATAACTTCATTTTTATCAATTAATAATTTATGATTGTTGTTATTGTTATTATTATTATTATTATTATTATTATTATTATTATTATTATTATTATTATTATTATTATTATTATTATTATTATTACATTATTCTTCCACCA